TATGGTTAATTAAGTACTCTGGGAAGGTCAATGTCTTACACTAGTAAATCTCTGAAATGATCTTCTAGAGAATGAAATTTCTAGAAAGTTATCATCTGTAAGAATAAAGTACCCAGGAATAGAAGTCTAATATTGCTTGCAGAGTTAGTTAAGGGTAGAGACAAAGTTAATGGTTATTCACTCTCAGAAAATGAACCTATTCCCAAGGTAATGCATACTTTTTTTTTTAATGTAGGTAATGCATACTTGACAGAATAATCAAGACATACAAATTTTAAACTATAATCCAAACCTTCCTTCACCATGGAACATAGGCTTAATGACTCCTATGAAATAAGTTCAGCATTTAGATAATTTGTTTCAGTAATAGTTGAAAAATCAGCGATATAAATTTATTATTGAATTTGAAAGGCAGAAAAATAATAGGTTAAAATCATACCAACTTTCTCCATATTACATCATGAAAAGAAGATATAATAAAATATCAAAGCATCTTATACAGGGTATTGATATTCTATCATTAAAGATCATTTTAAGATAGTTATGATTATGTAATATATGCTCAATCCCTATTCCACGACCTCTCTGTCCAGTAAAAGCATTTAGGAAACTTGGAATGCAGAGATAACAGTCACTTTTTGCAGTTATCAGGTAGATTTCTAAGCTTTATAATCAGGGTAGACAGTGATAAGTAAAACAATACATTTTATTGTTCTTTCTGCTTCCATTTCTTTAAGTAAACCCTGGTCCAGACCTTAAAATTTTTGTTTCCAAAGGAAAAAAGTCCAGGAATAAACTAAGGCAATAGTTCACACAAAAGAAAATGTCCTGCGGTAAGTCTTCCTTCTACATACCACAACATCCACTTGCACGTTGTTGTATTTTATTTCATGCTTTTTTGATTGTCATCAATCAGAAGGACAATTCTATTCTTTGTTTGATGACTGGTCTATGCTTCCAAAAGTGGAGAGCTCAGTGAAATAGAAGCAGCGGCAGTCAAGAACCAGGTCACAAATGTGAGTGAGACAAAGTGAGAAATGGCTCTGAAGCTTAACAAACCAAGAAATACTGGATGCAGGTGATGCAGAAGAGGCAGGACAGTGAGGATAACTACAGTCTCATACTCAAAATAAGAGAAAGATCAAACTGAAAAAAATAACAAATTTTTTAAAGAAGTTAGTTTTTCCTACTTTTAAGAACAATCAGTATGTGATTTATTTGCCCCCCCAAAACAAAGTCGTCTGCAGCATAATAGCAGATCCAATAGATCACAAGTTTTGAACAGCCATTAGAATTAGCACAGTAGTTTCCTGTCAGACATTCTTTTGTAACTAGATAGAAATCTTTCATAATCAAAAGATCAATTTTGATAAAGAAATGGATGTCAAGTGAGCTTTAAGTTTTTTAAAGATGTTCAATTAAATAAACATCACACTTATTCCCTTTCTAAATTTCCTTTCTCTCTTTTTATAAAAAACCAGAAATGAACAAGGGAAAGGAGCTCAGCATTATAAAATCTGCTACACCTCGGATAAGAACATTCCAAAACATTCCAAAAAGATAAAGAAAATGACAGAGATTTTATTTGGTAATACGCATGGACTCGATTTTTTGCTTTTACCTACATACAAAGCTAAAATTTTATGATCTCCAGGAGTTCCAATTGGAAAATATGTCCTGCACTAAAGACTAAACACAATTATTTTACTCTAGCAGTCCCAAAAAGAGATCCTACACCAGCCAAATGTCAAACCAAAAAACCTAAATAGCACCCAATTCATTCTTTTCCCTTACCTTCCCAATTTCTCCCATCAAGTTGCCTCAGTTGTACTTCTGAAATACTACCAAGTCATCTATACATCTCCACTGCCACTGGGATGCCCAATCCATCTTTACCTTTAAACTCCTATAACAGCATCCTAGCTGACCTCCCTGTTTTCTACTCTTGTCCTCTTCTACTCAATCTCCACAGGCAACACACATGATCCTCTTAACTTAAATCTCATTGTGAGGGCAGCCCTAGTGGCTCAGCGGTTTAGCGCCGCCTGTCAGCCCAGGGCTTGATCCTGGAGACCTGGGATCGAGTCCTGTGTCGGGCTCCCTGCATGGAGCCTGCTTCTCCCTCTGCCTGTGCCTCTCTCTCTCTCTCTCTCTCTCTCTCTCTGTGTGTGTGTGTGTGTGTGTGTGTGTGTGTCTCTCTCACTAATAAATAAGTAAATCTTTAAAAAAAATAAAATAAATCTCATCATGACATTCTTCCACTAAAACCTTTACAAGCTTCCCAATTCACCCAAAATGAAACACAAACTCCTTAGCCATGACTCTTCCCATGATCCAGATACCATCTGATTGTGCAAGCACACCTATCACTCTCTACATCACACATTCCATATATAATGATCTTTTTGACCTCAAATAAGTCATGATCTCTCCTACCTCACAGTCCTTTTATTTTCTGTTCTCTCTTCCTGTCAAGATCTTCCCTCTCAACGCTTGGATTTTTGTTTTTGTTTTCAGGATTTGAAGAACACACTGAGGTAAAAAATTCAAACAATACAAAAAAAAAAAAAAACATGGAAAGAAACAACTACAAAAATTCCACCAAAGAGAATTTCCATTAATATTTTGAGGTTAATCCTTTCCAACTCTAAGCTGGTTCTTTCTCATACATTAGTTCTCAACTCAAATACTGCCTTCCCAAAAGAGGACAGTTCCTCTCTATCACATCACTCTGTTTATTTTCTTCATTACACTTGTTTGCTTATTGGTCTCTCATCTTTTATCTGTCCAGTCCCAATAGAATGTAAGCTCCATGAAGGCAGAGATCTTGTCACTACTTTCTCATTCAATCACTAGGGTCGTAGCCCAATACCTAACACATTGCAGATGCCCAAAATTTACTGAATGAACAGATGCTGGTTCTGATTAACATTTATAAACTGCCAAATCCTAAATTTAAATCTCCCATTCAAATTTCTCTCCTGAGCTTCATACTCATACTTAACCATCCCACTTGGCAGCTCTCTCTAGATAGAACACAGGTATTTTAGTCTTAGTGAGCAAACCTGCTCTTCCTCATGGGATTCCCTATTCAGATGGTATTCCCTATTTAGATGAATGAGACTACCATCAACCAAATTTCCCAAGCCATACTCTTAAATTTTATCCTTGTTACAACTATTCCCCCTCACCTCACACCCACCCAATCACCAAGAGCATCTCCATATTACCTCAGTTCTGTCTCCTAAATCTCAATACATCCACCTCATTCAGCCCATCTGCTTCTCTTCTACTCTGCTACCTCCACCCAAATTGCAAATCACCGTCAATCATTTTTCCCCTAGACAACTGTAACAACCTTCTAACCTGCTGCTTCAGATCCACTCTTACTCCCCTCTAATTTATTCTCCATGGTCTAGCCTCAATATTCTCAAAATAACAATATGATCACATTATATTCCTTCTTAAAAATCTTCAGTGGCTTCCCATTACTCTTAGATTAAATCCTAAAATCCTTATCATGGATTATAAGGCCCATAAGAATACCCCATGCCTAACTATCTAGACTTTCCCTATAAATCAGTCTTCGGCCTTCTTTCAATTTTTTAAAGCTACCATGCTCTATTTCCCCCAGGGCCTTCATATATGCTGTTCCTTCTGCCTAAAAGATTATCCACCACGTCACACCACTCTTAAAACACATAATCATCCTTGGGTCTCAAATTCAAAGTCACTTCCTCAGGGAGGCTGTGGTAGGCAGAATTCTAAAGCTGTCTCTCTTCTTCCCCAAGATTTCCATCCTCTGGTAATACAATCAAACAGTAATCTATGTACTGCTATGAAGGGACTCTGCAAATATAATTAAGTATTACTCGGCTGATTTTATGCAACGGAGATTATCCTGGATTATCTTGGTGGGTCTAATATAATCAGTTAAACCCTGAAAGGCAGAGCTTTCTCTGGGCTGAGGGCAGAATCAGAAGTCAGAGAGATGTAGCACAATCAGCAGATAACCTGACTAAACCTGGAAGATTCTCCCCCTAGAAACTCCAGATAAGATCCCAGTCCAGCTGAATGGCTACCTTGATTGAGGCCTGCAAGACTTTAAGCAGAGAGCCCAGTCAAGTCACCTGGACTTCTGACCTACACTGTGATACAACATGAGTGTTGCTCTAAGTTGCTAAATTTGTGACAATAACAGAAAATGAATACAAACTCTTCCCTGACTCCCACCTCCACCACAGATAGTGTCAGAGCCTCTGTTAAATGTTCCCATAGCATTTGACACTTCTCTTTGATAATATTCAGACTTCTTATTTTAATATATACAGTCTAAAATCTACAGAGACTTTGTATTTTTGTATACCATACACCATTATATTCCAACATCTACAAAATCCAACATCTACAGAATGTACCCACAAAAGTTTGTAGAGTGAATGAATCAATTTTTTTATTAAATTGTCTCTCAAAATTGTCAATCATGACACACCTTCAGTAAAGTGCTATATTATAAAATATTTCTATAATAAGGGTCAATTGCTTTATAGCAGCGATTAAAATGAGGGGGAATAGAGATGGGATGAGTGGAACATATTCAGAATCATTGGGGCAGCTGGGTTTTTTTGTTTGTTTGTTTGTTTGTTTGTTTGTTTGTTTGTTTTACAAATCCTCCCTCAGTTACAACTACCCACAATCTGAAATGCCCACTCCTTGCCCTATATCCCTAGGGGAATGTGATCATCTATTGGAGGATCACAAAAGATTCCCACATAGAGCCATTATTACTAATGTCACTGAGTGATATTCCTCAGCTCTGCTGAATTGTAAATTAAGGTTCAATACAGTTAGTTTACTTTTTTAAAGAAGTAACTTTGCAAAATGAAAACAAAAGCAAATTTACTCAATCTGAGACATTACTATTTCACAATATAGAGAGACTAACTATATTTTAACCGGCCAAAAAGAGGAAAGGTCAACTAAATGAACAATTTACTTACATCAATGGGAAAGCAAAAAATGGAAGTGTCATGGCCAGTCTTGCTGTAAATTCATCAGGAAGATACCACAAGTATACAATTAAACATGTAAACAGATAAAGAATTGAAGAGTAGAGAATTAATCTTCCAACCCATAATTTTTGTAATCTCTGATTTTTTTCCCTAAATTCTTCCAATGCTTGAATTTCCTGTTAAGAGAAAATTATTCTATATTATTTAATTGAATCTCAAATTTCATAAAGAAATCAAAATGTCAACAAAAAATTTTAACATGATAGATTATATAGGAAGAACTCTTAAAAGTCAATTAAATATAATACTTTAATATTTTAAGAAGAACATAATTTGAAAAAAAATTAGAAATGAAGTTAGAACATATGAAAATGCCTATGCTGACAAGTCAGTCTTTTAAATGCAAAATTAAAGGGCACCTGAGTGGCTCAATCCATTAAGCATCTGCCTTCGGCTCAGGTCATGATCCCAAGGATCCTGGGATGGAGCCCCACATCAAGCTCCCTGCTCAGTGAGGAGTCTGCTTCTCCCCCTGCCCTTTCCCCCCTGCTTCTGATGTCTCTCCTTCTTTCTCTCTCTATCTCAAATAAATAAAAATAAAGTCTTTAAAAATAAATAAATAAATGCAAACTTAAGATACCCTTTTCGACTATCAAATTAGCAAAGATCAAGCATGAAATTGACATCAATATATAGTATTTAATAATCTAAATAATTCTCTCTGTATAAGATCTTAAAAAAGTCTGGCTAAAAATAAGTTAATTGGTTTTTTTTAAATCTGACTATAAAAAGAATTAATAAAAATTGCAACAGTAACCATACTAGATTCTTTCAATCTATTCATCACTCAATATTCCTAAGAAATAACCATTTTTGATAATGAAGTTTGTGAAGTTTTCAGACTGATAAAAACTGTTGCAGACTATCTTACAATCTACTTTATCCTTTATACCATGCTATACATCAAATTTCATTCTAACAGGTTCTATTGACACAGACTTAAGTGACTGAGAGACCTCAGATATTTTTCTGAGATAATACAATAAACTTCTCAGGTTTACTCTATCTGATCTCTAAATTCCCAAACCAGATCCAGTCTCCAAAATAATATACATATACTAAAATTAAAATAATATTTATGCAATACTTAAAATGAATTAAAACACCCCAGAATCCAAAGACATACCTTATCTATATTTTCCAGAACTTCTACAGTTGAAGGTTTTGTCTGTTATCAAAACAGATATGAGACATTAAAACTTGTTCCTGCAAACTTAGAAACACTTGATTTATAAAATCATAAATGAACATTTTAACTCAAAAAATAAAGTAAAAAGGAACATTTTAATTCAAATTTTTTCAAATGTCAAGCAATATGTATTCCTATTTATTAATGAGATTTAGATTTAAATAAAATTACAATTACAAACAGAACTGCATGATTAAAGAAATAAGCATTTTCCTATTTGATTTTTTAGTCCTAGAAGTACTTTCAACTCTGACCACTCAATTTCTACCACGTTTTTTTGTTTCTATCATTCTTAATCAAATTTTATAGAGAAATTTTCCCTCCAAGAAAAATTTTCTTAGATATGATTATCCAAAATATATCATATATTAGAAATTTCAAGACTAGGGATACCTGGGTGGCTCAGTGGTTGAACATCAAGACTAAAGATGGTCTGCTTTACTATTGCTAAAAGTTCACTTAGGACTCTGAAAGTCAAAATCCATAGGCTATCTTCATTTTGAATTCCTAACGTATTTTTCTGAAGATTAGATTTTTAAAAGGCAACTAAGAATACTTCATTATAGCAGAGTTGTTTGTTAAAAATATTTTTTATATATCCAGAATAAAAACCAGCCAAAATGTCTCCTACAACACTTGAGAAGGTACTTACCAATTATATACTCAATAATGTAAGAAAGTAGTGGACATCAATCAATTCATTGTAGTTCCCACAAGTTGTTAACATTAGGTTGAACCATATGAAATTGCCAATATTCAACTGTTTTGACTTACATAAAAAGCAATTTCATATGGTTCAATCTAATAAAGACAAAGGAAAATTAATCCTCATATGGTTCAACCTAACAAAGACAAAGATAAATTTGATCCTCAAGCAGAACTATCAAAAAGTTTTAAAGGGAGGACAAAGTCCAAAACAAAGCAGTTCCAGCAACAGTCAAAAAATGAGTCTACCAAATATTGCTAGACTCCATTATATGGCAAAAGAGGTTAAAAATAAGCTTTGTCTGAGACTACATTATCTCCTCATATTAGAATAGAACATTTATCACTATATTTTAAATTTATAGCGCTAAATTGGAGATACTTCCTCTAAAGCTCTACCCAATAAAATTAAACTGCATTCCAAATTTTGTTTAATTCCTAAAAGTATATTTAGTATGACTTCAACAAATACATATGATAAGCAAAAAGATATAGCCCATAAAAACATAAGTATTATATATAGCATACAACTATAATTTCAACTAGTTCAATAATAACAATAATTTTAACTATTCTTCAAATAAGATTGAAATAGAGGCAATAAGCAGAAGAAAACAAGAAAAGATAACCATTTACACATGAATGCATAAGTAAATAAAAGTACTCAGAAGTCAAAGTGAGATAATGATATTAAAAAGAGACATTGCAAAAAATAAAAATAAATAAATAAAAATAAAAAGAGACATTGCATACCTACACAGCAAGTGAATATTAAAGTCCAAATATACAACTAATTCATATGAGGAGGAAGAAAATTAAATAAAATTAGGGATAATAGCAAGCTATACTCAAGTCTATACCACAAAGGAGACTTTTACAAGTAGGTTTATGTGACACTTTATATTTGACTAAGAACAGGCTGTAAAGAAAACTAACTTACCCTCCATCGAGAAAATAATCCACCCATCTTTTATGTGTAGAAACTGGGCACAATGATAAATATCATCAATCGTCCAAAGGAATTCACAGCTAGAAATAAAGCAAGTATTTAAAATTTTTAGGTTAAATACATACTATACCCACTATAAAATGTAGATGTTGCAATACTGCCTAAAAACACTATAAAATATTAATTTATTTGAACTCCACTTACATGGAATTTTAGTTCAGATATTCTTGAGACAGAGTCTACCCCTCAACAAATCCCTTCTTCCACACCAGTACATATTTAAAAGTGAAAATAAAGCTAGAAAGGCTTTTAAATGGCAAGGCATTTTAACAGTATATATTCTTATTGCTTTGCAACTTACTGTTCTTTCAAGTAGGACCCCTAATGTTGTAAGAAAAGTTTTACTGTACTACTTTCATTCTACATGTTTAGATACAACATATCTATCATTCAGCTGTCTCTCAACTAAACTAGTTATTTGGAATTAGGGGTGTTTTACAATGTTTAGAATAATATTTTACAAGTAACAACAGAAAACCAATAGACCTTGAGCAAGACATTTAATGCTTCTGAGCTTTAATTTTCTTTTCTGTAAATTAAACTTAATATATCAGCACTTTTCACACGATAGCCTTCATTGTAACCATTTTACAGATAAAAAAAATAAGAGAAAAGATGTTCAGTGATTTGCCCAATAGCTCGAAAAAAACATGATTCAAAGCTACACTATCTTCAGGGTGCATGAGTCAAAGCTACACTATCTTAAAGGACACCTGGGTGGCTCAGTGGGCTGAACATCTATTTCAGCTCGGATCATGATCTCAGGGTTGTGAGACAGAGCCCTGAGTTGGGCTCTTCGCTGGGTGTGGAGCCTGCTTGGGATTCTCTCTCTTCCTCTTCCTCTGCCTCTCTCTAATTAGAAAAAAAAAAAAAGCAAACAAAAAAAAACACAAAGCTATCTTCAGACTTCTAATCTGTTCACTACTGTTCCAATACCCAAATAAACATTTCTCTCTAAAATTGTGTCTAAGTCCCTCAAGTCAACTGACCTTCATGTCAGCTAGCTGTGTATCTATGTCCTTCTTTTAGTTGTTTCTCTATGACTCTCAAATGTATTATATTACTATATGGATGAAAATGTTATCAGCCATCTTAGATTCTAAATCCATTTATTAGTCAATAATTATATAAGTTCTTATTCTTTTAACCTGAAATAGTGAAAGTATACTTTCAAATTTACATATTTTTACCAGGAATAGTTACATACTGTCCGTGTATAAAACTACTTCATCCCACACACAAAAAAGGCGATAATTCTCACATTTTTTAAACCATTAATGCAATCAAAAATGACACCAGTACCAAGTAAATACATCTACTCTGCAACACTAGTCACAGATTGGAATTAGCATAAGGCATACCATCTTGGACTTTCTCGATTAGAGAAGTAACAAAGATCCATATTATAAAATATTTCCACATACAAAGTGATTTCTAGGACCAGAAATACCTATAAGCTATCCTAAAAAATTCTGGTGTTTATAAATGAATGTTATAAGCCACAATTAAGTTGCAACCTAAGTACTATTAATCCTTCAATATTAAGTCAGTATTCAAATTTCTAAGATGCAATTGTAGGAAATCCAGGAACTTTAATGAATAGAAGTGTAATTTCTCAGTTAAAACATCAAATAGGTCTTAAAACCTATCTTAAGGGCTTTAAGATGCTAAAAATACTCACCAAGAAAGGTGACTGGGTAGGGAGGATTTATACAAATCATTAACTTGGTACTTTCAAAGTATATAGTAGTTCCCTAATTGTATAGTGTCTAGCACAGTGTTTTGAACACAACTGACCTACACATTTTGGTTTGTAACATTTATATGCCTCTGAGTTAAGTTTGTAGCCATCACAATGCAGAACTCTTATAATTTAAAGATAACAACAGGGGTAACTGGCTGGCTCAGTTGATAGAGCATGGGACTCTTGATCTTGGGGTCGTGAGCTCAAGCCACATGTTGGGGGTAGAGATTAGTTAAAAATAAATGCATAGGGGAACCCTGGGTGGCTCAGCGGTTTGGCGCCTGCCTTTGGCCCAGGGCACGATCCTGGAGTCCCGGGATCGATTCCCACATCGGGCTCCCTGCATGGAGCCTGCTTCTCCCTCTGCCTGTGTCTCTGCCTCTCTCTCTTTCATGAATAAATAAATTAAATCTTTTTAAAAAATGCATAAATAATTTTTAAATAATATTTTAAAAAAGTAATGACAGCAATAAAGATACCAGTTAAATATTTGATAAATACTTTATCTCTGGTAGGCCCTAAAACAAATGCTTTACATGAATTTCATTTAGATACTACTATCATCCCATTTTATAAATGTCAGAAACTGAAGCTAGGGAAATGAAGTAATTTGGTCCCAGAAATATTAAGTAGCATAGCCAGACACAGTATTTTAGTTTTGATTTTTTTATGAAGCAAGTAGTTATTCCCAATAACACAAAATCAGAAATAAAGTCTGCTTTATATAAATAAGATTGGAATATTTACATATAAATACATGAAAACACCTCTGACATTCTCAAATAGCTGGTAAACAGAGCTACTGAAGTGGAAAGTAAGTTATAAACACAAGAGACAGTGTTGGTACAGTGTATCATGTGGCCCAGTTCCTTCCTTTGATTAAATCCGAATGCTTAAATCTGCATGGAAGAGAAGCTAAATGATTTGCCAAATCATTGTGGCAGCTAGCTTCAGCTAGTGGCAGACTGGAAGTCTGCAAGCACTGCCTTTACTTGTCCATTGCACATCACTTTTTAAATGTAAGATGAAATATATGCATAATATTGCAATTAATATCAATGTTGACATCAATTATTTGCTTGGAGACTTGTTTTGATGTTAATGAAACAAACTATGCTTAACCTTTAAGATCCTTGAAGCAGGGTATTATGCTTTAAAATTTGTCCTCTAAAACAACATTAGGGTAAACAGTCATTAAATGCCTATCCATGCTTTCAGGCTCTAATCAAAGAACGAGCTAACCCTCATTGTTCCAGTAATTTTCCTAAAATTCCAAATTCCAGTATTTGTTCAAAGAAACTGATTTGCTATTAATACCCATGTAATGGTAGTACTTTCCAAGAGATATGAAAGCATAACAAAATTAAACAACTTTTTCTACATAGCTTTAATTTCATACCTCTTCTATGTTCAAACACTTTTACCCTCCTTGACACAAACATCTCAACTCCAATTCCTGTGGCCCATTACTTACTATGAAACCTTGGGCAAATAAGTTACTTAACCTCTCAGTTATTCGTTATCTTCATCTTCAAAAGAGGGATAGTTAAGGACCTTCTAAATGTTGAAAGCCTTAAATGAGATAATTCAGCAGTGCCCCACACATAACTAATTTCTCAATACAAACTGTTTTTTACTGCTGTGGTCATTGTCATTTCCTAGTCCATCTCTTCTAACACACGCAAAATATATGGGAAGCAAATAACTAGCATTTCTCTCTGAAGCATAAATCAGTGTATGCCCTTGAGTGGACAGATTGCTCAATCTCAAGTGGCTTGTCCCCAAGAGCTCTTCCATGAATGTGTACAGTCTCTTTCCACTCTGATATTACAACGGGACCTGACATGACCTTAAGAGCTGGATGCATCTACTGTGTTTTCAACAAATAATAATGCCCACCACATTATTTCAATGTTTCCTATTGACTGATATTCACACTCAGGTTTGGGGGTCAGAATTTAAAATCTTGGGTCATGTCGTCCTTAAATTTTCAGCTCATTTCAAGTCATATTAAAATAATAGAGGGGCACTGAGTGGTGCAGTCAGTTGAGTATCTGACTCTTGGTTTAGCTAGGTCATGATCTCAGTGTTATGAGATCAAGCCCCTGTGGGGCCACTCAGCATGGAGTCTGCTTAAGATTCTGTCTTCCTGGGATCCCTGGGTGGCACAGCGGTTTGGCGCCTGCCTTTGACCCAGGGCGTGATCCTGGAGACCCGGGATCGAATCCCACATCGGGCTCCTGGTGCATGGAGCCTGCTTCTCCCTCTGCCTGTGTCTATGCCTCTCTCTCTCTGTGTGTGACTATCATAAATAAAATAAAATAAAAAATTTAAAAAAAAAAGATTCTGTCTTCCTCTGCTCCTAACCCACTCCTCCACCCCACAGTCTCTCTCTCTAAAATAAAAACTTTTTTAAAAAAAGAGAATAATGGAGTCTGCTGCATACCAGCAATGTGATCTTGGGTAGATTAAACTCTCCAACCTCAGTTTCCACATTTATGTAGTGGTGAAAAAACTTAACACTTCACAGAACTGCTGTATGAACTAAATGAAATTATATATTACTTGGCACAGTGTCCAACAAGTAATGAGCACATAATAAATTATAGCCATTATTATTATTACTATTATCAGAAAGCACATGTAGTGCAGACAATACTCCTCATACACCTAACTTCTCAGAAAGTACCTATTTTCATAATTTTAAATTTGGAAAAATAAATTACAATTTGTATTTTAACTGAAATTGTATTGCCCTCATTTGCTCTAGTATTAAAAAATAAAAACAAAATATTCTTCAGACTCTTCCATTAAAATGTTCTTGCAGGCCTTTTAGAAGCTCTATAATGTACTCTTCAATTTAAAATTAAAAGCGATTTTGCTCCAGAATTCTTTCGAATATTCTAGCCGAAAAGGCAATTTTGAAATATCCCAAACCACCACATTTATTGCTCAAAAATAAAATTACTGAAAAGAAGTACACCTCTAAAAGCACTTTTATTATATGCTAATTCTGGTCTTCATGGTAAGCTGATGTTCAATCTGAACTAAACACTACCAAGAAATGACTATTTCGGTAGAAAGATCTCTATATTAAATCATGCCTTGCAGATAACTCTTACATTATTTGTCAAGTTAATAATATATAAACACCAAGCTTATTAAGAGTGTTGGGCGGATCTTAGGTGACAGAAACAAAATTCTAATTTTATCTGTGTGTGTGTGTGTGTCTCTTTGAATAAATAAATAAAATCTTTTTTTAAAAAATCTGATTTTAGGGATCCCTGGGTGGCGCAGCGGTTTAGCGCCTGCCCTTGGCCCAGGGCGTGATCCTGGAGACCCCGGATCGAATCCCACATCGGGCTCCCGGTGCATGGAGCCTGCTTCTCCCTCTGCCTATGTCTTTGCCCCTCTCTCTCTCTCTCTCTCTCTCTCTCTCTCTCTCTCTGTCTCTGTGTGTGTGTGTGTGTGACTATCATAAATAAATAAAAATTTTTTAAAAAAATTCTGATTTTAAATGCACCACTTTTGTTTTTAAAAACGTGTTCAAGATCAACTTCCTCCTAAAATGGAACCACGGGTGCTGCTGAGAACAAGAGATGAGCACTCCCTGCCTGTCCGAACCTATGCCTGAAGCCAAGCTTGCTCGCATGCCACACAATGCTGCTTAACAGGGTCACTTACGTTGATGGTGACACGCAGGCCAGAGAGATAGAAAACAATTGACATAAACCAGAAGCCAACTGGGAAAAGGCGGAACATGGAAAAAACTCAGTGAGTCACCAATTTTATTACCATGAGGGCACCATCAGCAAAACTGAGTTCAGTGATCTCAACTTTCTCAATCTCCATACACAATATTAAAGAATCAAACTAATTTTTTTTGAGATTTTTTTTTAAGTCATCTCTATATCCAATGCAGCCAGAACTCACAACCCCCAGGCCAAGAGTCGCACGGCTCCACCAAACCGAGAGCCAAGCCAGGCGCCCCGAAGAATTAAAAGTATTGATAACAGTTCAGATCTGCTCTTCTCCCCGGGGCCGAGCCTCGGTCACCCCGGCAACCTCGCTCCCTCCACCCCTTACACCGCCCACCTTCCCCCAAACACGGACGACGTCGGTGGAGAGGCTCCTGCAAGCAGCACGTAATCCACGCCCACATGCCTGGGCCGACCAGCATGACACTGACAGTTTTCGGTCCTCCCGGTCTGTCCAATTCGTGGCGCCTCCGCACAACTCGGAGGGGGGTAAAAAAAGAGACGGACACACAACACTCAGCGACAGCTCAGCGTCGAACCTCCCGACCCCCCGCCTTGACACGGGCGGGCCAAAGAGCCGATGCTCTGCTCCACCCGGCCACCTCCCCACCCCGGACTCCCCGAGGACACGCGGGGGTGGAGGGGGGAGGTGGCCGAACGGGCTCCCGGTTACTCCAGGGTCCCCCCTGGCCCTGGGAAATCAGAGGCAGCAGGAGGCGAGGCTGCTCAGCGCGCGGCGCGGCGCGAGCCCGGGACCCGCCACCTCCGCGGAGCTCCTAGGCCACCAGGCACCGGGGCGGGCGCGCCGGGCAGAGGCGGGCGGGGAACCCGGGAGCCCGCGCCCCAGCGGAAGGCTCAGCGCACTTCCCCTCCGCCGAGCCCTCCCTGCCGCCCTCACTCCGACGGTTTACCTGCAGGAAGCGGGCAAAGCCCGGCGCTTGCGTCCACGTCTGCCAGCTTCGGCGCCACAGCGCAGCCCGTCTCCGCAGCAGGCGGCAGCCGCCACTGACAGAGCGGTGGGCCCGGCCAACTCCTTCCCATCAAACCCCGCGCTCCCGCCGCCGGCCAATCAGCGCCACGGCCGGCGCGCGCCGCTCCCCGGTCACGTGACTGCGCCGGGGGCGGGCAGTTGGGGCGGGCCGCTCGGGCGGTTGGCCGGAGGACGCCGGCCCTGGGGCTTCCGCGGCTCGGTAGGGTGCTCGTCGTCGCATCTCGGGGCGGGGCGGGCGGGGGGACTGCCATTGATTGGGAGGCTTACCGGCACGGCTACTTCTTTTCCTCGGCCTCCTCTCGTTCCTTTGAAGCCTGTTCTGCCAACTCTCACTGGAGAAAGAAAACCCCGAAATTGACCCTGGGGAGTGGGGGGGGGGGTCCTAGGTCGCCGCGAGAGGGACGGGTGGGGTTGAGGGTGCAGATGGCTGCGTCTGGAAAGGACTCGGCCCTGAAGAGCCCCGGGGTCAGCCTCCTGCGGCCGGCAGCGGAGGCACTTAACCCTACCTCACAGCTCAGCCAAGGCCCGCTCCCCACACGAGCCCGTGGAGACAATCCAGCAGGCTGAGTGCCGGAGGCCTTCGTCACTGCTGAACGTCAAAAAGGGTCATTTTGATGACAGGACGCTGACCTCACCCGTGGGGGGTGAGCTTCACACGCCGGAGGATGTTGTTCTCAAACCCGTGGAGGTCACAGAGGCCGAGTTTTCTCTCTTAAAACTCTCACCTCGCGAATACGCCCTTCCCAGGCCCTGATCTCCGGGCCCACGGATAACCCCCCACACACACACTGGGCTGTGTTCACCTCAGATTTGAAACGTTGGCTCTAGAGCGTTTCCTAGACCACTGCACGTGACCAGTCTAAATAGCCAGAGATAACGTGGACCCGCGTGAGGTAACCGTGCAGAAGGGGTGAAAAGCAAGCAAAAGCTTTGGTGGTGGTTTACCTCTGTGACTTGCTTCTGCAAACATTTTTCACGGGATATTTTTCTATTCTGTTTAGTTACATCCGAGTTTTAAAATAATGCATCCGTGAGTGTCTGTCATTGCTTTAAGGCGCTACATGGAAACTTTGACGAAGCAAGCAGGTAAGGTGAAGTGAGAAACCGAGCCTAGGGTACCGGAAGCTACCAGGTGATTCGCTGTGGCGTGAGCTTGTCCTCACTGTTAGAATCTTTCGTTACAGCTGTGTAAGCTTGAAAGGACGAAGGCAAGGGAACCAGAGTTTACTTGTGCACTCTGGGTCTAGTAGAAAATAGAAGAGTTTTATAGATAGAAATTCTGTATCCCAGAATTCCCTGTGAATCCCCTTGGCCTTGTTTAAAAAAAAAATTCTATCGAAGAAAATATGAATAGAAACATTTCATCTATTTTGATACAGAAATATAACCATTTCATTTTTCATCCTTTGCTCTTTCAAAGTATATATTTTTAAAAGGCCTGTGAAGTTAATGCAAAACATATCTCCTCACCTCAGGAATATATTTTCCTAAGAGAACAGGAAAGAAATGTTTACCAGTTGCTACTGATTTTGTTCTCTAGCTTTAACTGGGCCATCAAGGTCTGTTGTAAAGGGGGGAAAAAACAGGAGGGAGAAGACAAGAACTAGCCAGGTGCCAGGCATCCCAAAAACCTGATCCTGAGATCATAATTATCCATAGATAATTACTCTGGAAGAGGAGACACTTGGAGGGTGAGATGTATGGAATCACTCTTTTAACCAAACAACTTCTTTTTTTTTAATAAATTAATTTTTATTGGTGTTCAATTTACCAACATACAGAATAACACCCAGTGCTCATCCCGTCAAGTGTCCCCCTCCGTGCCCGTCACCCATTCACCCCCACCCCCCGCCCTCCTCCCCTTCCACCACCCCTAGTTCATTTCCCAGAGTTAGAAGTCTTTATGTTCTGTCTCCCTTTCTGATATTTCCCACACATTTCTTCTCCCTTCCCTTATATTCCCCTTCACTATTATTCATATTCCCCAAATGAATGAGAACATACACTGTTTGTCCTTCTCCGATTGACTTACTTCACTCAGCATAATACCCTCCAGTTCCATCCACGTTGAAGCAAATGGTGGGTATTTGTCGTTTCTAATGGCTGAGTAATATTCCATTGTATACATAAACCACATCTTCTTTATCCATTCATCTTTCAATGGGCACCGAGGCTCCTTCCACAGTTTGGCTATTGTGGACATGGCTGCTAGAAACATCGGGGTGCAGGTGTCCCGGCGTTTCATTGCATCTGAATCTTTGGGGTAAATCCCTAACAGTGCAATTGCTGGGTCGTAGGGCAGGTCTATTTTTAATTCTTTGAGGAACCTCCACACAGTTTTCCAGAGTGGCTGCACCAGTTCACATTCCCACCAACACTGTAAGAGGGTACCCTTTTCTCCGCATCCTCTCCAACATTTGTTGTTTCCTGCCTTGTTAATTTTCCCCATTCTCACTGGTGTGAGGTGGTATCTCATTGTGGTTTTGATTTGTATTTCCCTGATGGCAAGTGATGCAGAGCATTTTCTCATGTGCATGTTGGCCATGTCTATGTCTTCCTCTGTGAGATTTCTCTTCATGTCTTTTGCCCATTTCATGATTGGATTGTTTGTTTCTTTTAACCAAACAACTTCTTAAAGTAAGTATCATTGTAGAAATGAGGAAATTGAATAGAAATATTACGTATATTGCTGAAGGTAACACTATACCACTACCTGGTAAGAGTTTGTCAGGCACAGTAAGAGAAGACCAAATATTTATCCAGGACAAGACCCTGTGTACACATACAGATAAATAAAACAGCTGTCCTAAAGTAACTGACACTAGTGAGAGAAACCTTCAAGAAAACACACAAAAAATATAGGGTAGGGATCCCTGGGTGGCGCAGCGGTTTGGCGCCTGCCTTTGGCCCAGGGTGCGATCCTGGAGACCCGGGATCGAATCCCATGTCGGGCTCCCGGTGCATGGAGCCTGCTTCTCCCTCTGCCTGTGTCTCTGCCATTCTCTGTGTGTGTGTGTGACTATCATAAATTAAAATATATATATAGGGTAAATAACTATGATAAAGGCAAGTGTTGAAGAGATTGGAGAAGGATAAGGCAACAGCAGCCAGAAGGGATATGGGAAAGCCAGTGAAGGTGGTGCTTTAGCTGAGTCCAAATATTGAAGAATTATTGCCTACTAATCCTAAATTTCTCCTGTGATAGATTCTAAGGAAGTGAAATCAGAAAAGCACCAGAGAAGATGACAAAGGAAATAAACTAGTCAAAGGAATGCTAAAAGGTCTAATTCAACAAATAAGTAAAACCACATTTATTCAAAGGAATAAATGAAAGCTGCAAGAAATAGTTGCTATGAGAGCTCACAATAGGGTCATTCACTGACCTGGTCAGTGATTTCTCACTGAGAGAAATCTCCCTGAAGGAGGTCCTACTGGAATGGAAACCTGAAAAATGAGATACTGAAAAAAGGAGAAATGGAAACCGGGAACATCATGCGTAAAGACCTTTTGTCAGAGGGGAACACTGCAAGCCTGAGGAACAGAGGACCAATGTGGCTAGAACGTAGACCATACAGAGTTCACAGTACGCTGGAGACCAGACATTGTTGGCCATACTGAGAACCTGTATCTTCTTGAGAAGCAGAGAGGGGATTTAATGATCATATCTGTGTTTTGAAAAGTTCATTCCAACTGGAGTGTGAGAATATGAATAGAGCCAATTAGGGTCCCCCGGTGGTAGTTAGTGGTATTTCAAATGGATCGGGCTGGGAATAAGGAGATGGAGACAAGTGGGGGAAATGGAACAATTTGGGAAGTAACATGGGAGATTTAGGTGACGGATTCAGATATGGTGGGTGATCTGGAAATATTGGGGTTAGGAGCAAATGGTCAAGAAAGAACTTGACACATCTTCAGACCACCAAAAAGGTGGTTTTATTAAAGGATGGGGACAAGGACCCATGGGCAGAAAGAGCCGCAGGGGGGTTGTGAGGCATAGCTGATTATATACTTTCAAGTTGGGAGGGCATTAAGGACAGACAGCACAAGCCTCCAAGGTATTTTGGAAACAAGGTTTCCAGGACTCTGAGGGGGCTAGCTATTGTTAGGAAAAGGTTATTTATTACTGTTTAGTAAAAACTCAGTCATGAGATCCTTCAGGTGTGTATCAGTGGGCCACATGCTTGGAGTATGATTGCTAACATATATGTTGAGGGGTAGAGATAAAGGAAGCTTCCAAAGGAATTTCTGTATGTTTAAAGTATACTCACAGGATCTTGGGGGGGGGGGGTGGCTAAGATTGCCTTTAGCAAAGTGCCAACACTGAGGCAGCTGAGCTCCCAGAGGAAGGTCACCCTGCCTGTTTCAAGGACTTCTCAATGGGTTGTAAGTAGTAAGGAAATTTAATTTTTCTTCTGCTTTTGTTTGCCACATTAGTGGGATGAACTGGGAATTAAAGAAAAAGGAGTCTGAGATGATGGGATCTCTGGCAGGCATGGTGGGTGGATAGTAATGCTATCACTGAGATATGGGGAACACTGGAATAGAGTTGGTTTTGAAGGAAGATGGGGATTTCAATTTGAACATGTTGAGTTTAAGATGTTTTGGTGACTTCAAGGAGAGGACATGTATAGAGGGAAAAAAATATTTTACAGTTTGTAATCTTTACAACAAAGTACCTACTTTTTATCAAAATGCAAAAAAAAACTACTTATAAACATTTTGCTTTTAAATACACTATGGAAAAATTAAAAGTGGAAGTCTTTAAAACTCTTCCCCAGAATTCCCTGTGAATCACTTGGGACTTAGTTAAAAAAACAAATTCTCAGGCCCCTTCCCTGGAGATTCTGATTCCACATGTCTGGTATGGAGCCCAGAAATTTGGATTTTTAACAAGTGCCTCTGGTGATTCTTGCCAGGGAGTTTCTCTGAGCAATGCTACTCAGTGCCAGAGGCCACCTGCATAAGAGTTACCAAGGCACTTATTAAAATACAAGCTCTAGGGCCTTGCATACTAAAAACCCTATGGGTTGGAGGACCTGGGTGGCTCAGTCGGTTAAGCATCTGCCTTTGGTTTGGATCATGATCCCTGAGTCCTGGGATCGAGCCCTGCATCAGTGGGAGTCTGGCTCTCCTCCATCTGTCTCTCCCCTAGCTCATGGTCTCTCTTGCTCTCTCTCTCAAATAAAATATTTTAAAAAAAAATCCCTAGAGGTAAAGGGGATGAAAGGAATGGAAGGAGGGAGATACTATAGTACCAGGTGCTCTAAGATTTCACCCTCCATCTCTGACAGGTGTCCTAGGCTCTCCACCAGGCAGTTCCAAGGACAGCTAGTGTTCTTTGCTAGATGACACATATATAGAAGCAGACAGCCCTTGCAGGCTTCTGTCCCAAGTGATTCACAGGGAATAACAGCTTTCCTGCTCCTAGGCCAGGCTTCCTGCAGTGTCTACCAAAATGGCACTCCACCAACTCTGATGCTCTTTTTTTTTTTTTTTTTTAAGATTTTAGAGGCAGCTGGGTGGTTCAGTTAAGCATCTTCCTTCAGGGCAGCCCCGGTGGCGGTAGTGCAGCGGTTTAGTGCTGCCTGCAGCCCAGGGCGTGATCCTGGACATCCTGGATTGAGTCCCATGTCAGGCTCTCTGCATGGTGCCTGCTTCTCCCTCTGCCTGTGTCTCTGTCTCTCTCTCTCTCTCTCTCTGCATCTCTATGAATAAATAAAATCTTTTAAAAATGTAAATAAAAAATAAATTTAAAAAAAAAGCATCTTCCTTCAGCTCAGACCATGATCCCAGGGTCTTGGGATCAAGCCCCATGTCAGGCTCTCTGTTCAGTAGGGAGTCTGCTTGTCCCTCTCTGTCTGCCTCTCACCTCCTCGCCCCCTCACTCCCGCTCATACATCCTCTCTCAAATCTATTAATGATAATTTGTAATTACTATTACTTAGAGCAAGTAGGGGGAGGGGCAGAGGGAGAGAGAGAATCTCAAACCTGGTGGAGCCTGATGCAGGGCTCCATTCCACGACCCTGAGATCATGACCTGAGCCAAAATCAAGAGTGAGACGCTCAACCAACTGAGTTGCCCAGGCACCATACTGCTCTTTTTCCACCACTGCCATCAAACCACATCCTTCCCTGTCTTGCCCACCCCTGCCCAGCCTTCTTCAGAATTATGCTGCATATACTCCTCCCAATTCAGGGGTTCTTTTTTTGTTTTTTGTGGGGGTTTTTTAGCTAATCTGGCCAGGCAGGACTAGAAAGGATATAGGGTCAAATGCTATGTTTTACTCTTGTCAGAGCTTTTTTTATTCTTGAGAACCTACTTTGGAAATATTTTCGTTTTTGAAGACTGCATGGTTCTCTTGTCTTGCTGTAACAACTCTAAGTCTCTGTGAGGCACTATAGATGCTTCTCACCAGAGGAAGAATCAGGAAGTATAGGGAAGAAAGAAGATTGGAATTATTTTTTGTGATGGGAAATAGAGCAAACAGAAAAGCTCATAAAAAAGAAGGGTACTACTTAAAGACTATAACCCAAACACTCACGTGACCCCACTGGGTCAAAATACCAATACCCTAAAAGGCCCCAATGTACCTGTTCCCTTATAACCCCCAAATGCCTGCAGATAACCACTATGGTGTTTATTAGCATATTCACTTTCTTGCTTTTCTTCACGTTCTTTCTGCCTAACTACTCATTCTTTAAAAATACACCTTATGCCTATTTTTGAGCTCCTACGTAAATAGAATCGTAAGTTTTTTTCATGTCTTGAATTGTTTTGATCAAGGTTATGTCTTTAAGATTCACCCATGTAGACGTATCTGTTAGTTCATTTTCATTGCTGTAGGCTACTATATTACATGGAAATATAATTTATCTACTTCATGGATTTAGGCTATTTCTAGCTTTGGGCTATTATAAACAATGCTGCTGTCCGCGTGTGTCTGTGTGCGTGTTGTGTGTGTATGTTTATCCTGGAGTGTATAAACACAGATTTCTATAGCGTCTTTACCTTGGCATGGAAGTCCTGATTCATAGAACATGTTTATTTTTAGCTTTTCAAGGCCATGCTAAATAAACTCTACCAGTTTATATAACCAACAATAACATATAAACATTTCTTTTGCTTCCCATCCTCATCAACACTTGAGTTGTCCAACATTTTAATTTTTGCCAATCCAATGGATATGTTAATACTTACTGTGCTGTTTTGCATTTCCTTACTTTAGTGAAGAATAGCCTCTTTTCATATAAGCACTGGCTTATAAGCTCAGGTGCTTTCCCATTTTTATTTTGGGTTTTCTTTTTCTTACTGATTTCTATTAATTGATTACATAATGTGGAAACATGCCTATAGTTGATTACCTGTGCTACAAATATTTTTTTTCAATTCTGACTTGCTTTTTCACTCTCTTAAGTCTCTTGATGAAAAATTCTTAATGGAGTCAAATTTATCACTTTTCCTCTATAAGTAGTGGTGTCTGTATCCCGTTTAAGAGATACATCCTACTCCTAAGCAGACCTGAAATCAACTTTTTTATTAATGGAGAAAGAGAGGCACTTATTGTCCCTATTCCCTTACCCCCACCCTCAGGGTGGAAAAATAAACTGTCACCACTTATTGACAGGTGGTCCTCTCTACCCTACCCTGCAGTGCTACCTTGGTTATAAACCAAGTAAGTAGTCACTTATGTGTTGGTTTGTTTCTGACTTTGATATTCTGTTCCACGGTCTATTTTCTTTTTTGTATATCCCTGCTGTTTAAGATCTGAGAGGATCTCATATTTAAGGACTGAGGAAAGAGGAAAACACTGAATTAAAGACAGGAAAAGAATTGCTACTGTGAGACACCAACCAATAGATGAGAAAGAATAAAGTCGATCTGTGGTTTTTCTTTCTGGTGATATCCTTCTTTGGGTTGGCATAAAAGTTATACTAATTAGCCTCATAAAATGAATTGGGGGATATACTTTTTTTCCTACCCTTATGTCATTTTTATTCATTCTTCCTTTCTTTGAAATCAGATTATCAAGAAACACCCACCCCCAAAATACCATTGATATTTTTATAAAAATTTCTTTAGTTGTGTATATTAATTCCTTCCACATGAGCTTTTCCTCCCTGGACTATAGTATAACTCCATATTTATGCAAGTGTCTTTACACATTCTCCAAAAATAGTCATTTCATCATACAGGTCTTGTACCTTACAGCGGGCAGAATTCTAAATGGCCCTCCAAAATTCCCATCCCCTGGTTATTAAAACACTAATCCAGGTACTGCTGTGAAAGACATTTACAGACATAATTAAAGTTATAAATTATTCTAAATAGGGGCACCTGGCTGGTGCACTTGGTAGAGCATCTGACTCTTGATCTCAGATTGATCTCAGAGTCATGAGTTCAAGCCCCACGCTGAGTGTAGAGATTATGAAAAATTATCCTGAATAACCTAGGTGGGTCCGATCTAACAACTTGAGCCCTTGCAAAGGGAAATTTCTCTAGCTGGAATCAGATTTGGCAGAAAAGGGAAGCTGAGGCAAAAGATGAGGCAGAAGGGGAGGTCAGAGATTCTGAGCAGAAGAAAGATTTGACCTGTTGTGGCTGACTTTGCAAATGGAGGGAAAGATGCAGGAGCCAAGGAATGTAGGCCGGCTCCAGATTCTGAGAATGCCTCCTGGCTGGCAGCTGGCAAGCCACCTGAGAACCCAGTCCTGCACCTACACGGAAGTGAATTCTGTCA